GGGGGGGGGGGTTTGCGTCTCACCCAGACATTTTACTTGGGACGTTTGCCGGAAAAGCTCCAGGAAACTCTTCGGAGCAACTGACTCTGGCATTCTCAAATCCACCGAATCGTGGGGGGGGGGGGGCACCCAGGGAAAACACCCAGGGGAGGACTGACTGTAAATGATAATGCAATAAAAGGGAAGGAGCGGAGTGGTGACTCTATGGTACAAGCGGATGTTGAAAAAGAGAAATAATAAATGATCGTCTGTCTAATGGATTCTAACCGGATTAAACTGAAAACCCTTTTCCTCAAACCAGATGAATTTCTTTCACAGAATGAGCCAGTTTATTTATATGTGTGTTTACATGACGCATATTTAATCTGATTGTTAACTGAGTGGAGCTTTAATTTAGAGATGAGAGAATTTACAGCATATTGGTTGAATTTAAAAAAAAGGTAAATGCATGAAAACAATCGTCTGAATCTGTCGATCAACAGTGACAGGCAGGTTTATGACCTTGTCGCTGTGTGTAAACAATCGCTCGTTGTCTCGGTGCTTCAGCTCGGATGCTACATTCAGGACGTGGTCAGGCGGTTTTAGAGGAACTTAAACTGTCGCACAGCTTTGCCACAAAACACACACGAGTAAGTCCATGACACACAAACAAGTTAAAATGATGGATCTGACCTCCACATGCAGATCACCTCTGTGGACGGATGGATGCCACGAATTCCTGACAGACAAAACTGTCTGTCTGTCTGTCTGTCTGTCTGTGTGTGTGTGTGTGTTAGAGAGAGAGAGTGTGTGTGTGTGTGTGTGTGTGTGTCAGAGAGAGAGTGTGTGTGTGTGTGTGTGTGAGAGAGAGAGTGTGTGTGTGTGTGTGTGTCAGAGAGAGAGTGTGTGTTTGGTCTCTGGCCAGTTTTCACTATCAACAGCAGCTGCCAGTCACACCAGGGTGTCAAGCTGCTGCTGGCACACACACACACACACACACACACACACACACACACACACACACACACACAGAATCAATACACCCTCCCCCCAACACAACACCACAGAGAAATACACACAGACACACTAACAACAACAGCATTCAGTGATGGATCAAAACAATTTTGCATGGACACCAATGTGTGTGTGTGTGTGTGTGTGTGTGTGTGTGTAGCTGCAGCTTACTCTACAATAACAGGTGGAGCTTTAAATATAAATATATATTAAACATATATAATGTACTAGAGTCCAGTGGAGCCCCTCACTGTGTTTCTATAAACTGATTTCTCAGCCTCGGACCGTGACTCTGTCCGTCACCACGTCCCGCTCCGGGCAGCGTCCTGTCCCGGCATCCTCCCCGCTCCGCACTCACCGATACGAGGTCTGCTTCCTGAACGCCAGCCCGCGGAGCTTCTCCTCCAGGGTCTCCGGCTCCATGTCGGGCAGGCTGCCGCTGAACGTGTCGCTGCAGCAGCCCACGGCGGCGTCCTCCGAGCCGGCGCCGGACTCCGAGTCTCCCCCGTCGGCTCCCAGGGAGGCCACGCGCCCGCCGAAGCCGCCCGCCGGGCCGGTGCGGTCCTTCGCCTGGGGGTCCATGCCGGTCGGTCGTCCTCCGTGGAGCTGGACCCCCCCCCCTCACACGCTCTCCGCCGGGTGGTGAGGGGGGACCGGGGGACCGGGGACACGGATGCCGGGGGGATGTGTGAGGGTGACGGGGGGAAGAGGGGGGGCGGGTTGACACGGTGGCGGCGTCGCTCCGGTTTTGACCGTGGAGATTTTGTGAGCGCGCTTTTATACCGCAGACAGGTACGGCAGCGCGCGCGACCGCCGGGACAACGCACCGAGCAGAACTCACGAGCTGCGTCAAGCTAGCAGGGTTAGCCAGGAAGTTAGCGGGCTCGAACCTTCAAAATAAAAGACAGAAGTTCCTTCAAAATCTCCCCTTTTATTGAAATCATATAATTTTTTTATCAGTCACTAAACAAGCATCAGTAAAGTATTAACAAGTAAACATGTACCACATATATAATTGGAACAGACGTATACAGTGTAAAATACGTACAGTATATCAGCTCAGCAGAACATGAGCATCGTGTGTATTA